GAGTGACAATTAACCTCTGTTTACTGGGCTATGAGGCTACATTAGCCCTAGAGGTGTTTTCCTCTCACTGCAACCATTGCAGATAAATATTCTACCACATGCAGCAGTCACCTAAGCTGAAAATGCAGCCCAGCTGGGGGGTTTGGTCCCCCTTGGCAATCCAGGATCAGACAGAAAAGCAAAAGCGACATAAGAACCTGTTTGATGTGGCCATTTAAAGGCCATTTCAGCTGGTTACAGGGACTGGGGGTTTGGGGTTGTCAAAAACCAGTACCCAGCAGTAGTTTGGATTGGCTGACAAACCACAAGACTTGAGAGAAGTAAGACAAAGACCACAGATTTTCTTAAAAATGCAATTTTCTTTCACTTTTTTCAACTGTCAGCCTTATCTGCAGAAACAAAATTTGATATGGCAAAGTGGTGCTTTATAGTTGGTGTCCTGTATCTTTCCAATGGATGTAAGGTAGGCCATGATAATAGGCTTTAAATTATTCTTTGCAGTTGTTTAGCCAAAATATTTAAGTGCCTGTATCCACCTTGTGCTTGGTGTTGGTGTTAATGAAAAAGGGGTGGTGTAATTTCATGTGCCTGCTCCTCTGTTGTCTCTTCAAAATGAAAACCCCTGTGAAACTGCAGTGCTTCATCCTGCACTGGAGATGCAACCACCTCCCTTTTCTTGCCCTAACTGGACTGCTGTGATCAGCAAGCTATAACCTGAGCAGACCAACAGCCTTCAAAAATGGCCATGGAAAAAGATTGGACTCTAGTTTAGAAGTGCCAGTAATGCAATAGTCACTGTCACAATACCTGTGTGAAATGGTCCAAGCCAAGGCAGAACACTGGACTGATGAATAGCACCAAGTAACTCTGGGCAAGTAAACCTACAGAATGATTAACAAAAGTCAAGTAGCTTTATGTGACATAGCAAAACTCCATATTATTAAATCTTCACACTGAAGACCACCCCCACCTTGCAGATGTGCTTTGCAAAGGAGGCTTTTTTCCTGAGGTACCTCAAGAAACTAAAACCTCTGCATAATTTTTTGGTTTGCTTCTTCTGTATGTCTTTGGCCAAGACTGTCAAAGTTGCTGTTTTATATAAATAATGACATTTTACATATTATTCTCCTGGATCTTCATCAAGGACACTCAAGAAAGACATTTTTTTCCCAACTGCTTAATAAATGTAAGGCACAATGATTTTATTCTATAAGGGAACAGACCTGTAGGGCTGGCTTCCTCATGAGTCCCCAGCCAAAGTCCCTCACTTCTGAGTGCAGGCCAAGGCAAGTTGGATGCACAAACTACTGAGTGCACAGGTAGAGAGCTGTCCAGGTAAAGTAATAAACTGTAACACTTTCAGTGAAAACTAGAACAGACTCCACCAGTGAATCCCTGCCTTTGCAGACTTGCTGCAGCTCTGGGCACGTAGCTCAGCTGTGAAGTCAGACAACACATATGTCCTTTTGTCTTGGAGTTCAAACCAGTAATTCAACCAAACTTCAGAGAACTATGAAAACATGTAAGTTGCCATAGAAATCCAGTCCTGGAAGAGATCATCTGCACTGAGCCCAGTTCAGCTATGCCAACAGCACCAGTGGCAGATGGTGGTCTAACCTGTTCTTGAACACGTGTAATGAAAACCATTCTCTAATCTCCTAAGAGATCAAAAGGGACCATTGTGAAAATCTGCTCTGACTTAATCTCAGCCCTCATGCATTGCACGGGCCAAAATACTTCCCCAGCCACAGAGCTGCCTTGGGAAGTTGTACCAGACCTTTTAGGAAGATCCCTGATCTGGTGTGCAGTGAGTACAGCAGGCTATGCACCACGGGCAGAGCTAAGCAGATAATTATCTTCACTGTAACAATTGCACTGCATGTAAAAAGAGGCCCTGGGAGACCCACACAGTGTATGGGGAGGGATGTGATACCACCAGGAGGGCAGGCCAGGCTGGTGGGCAAGTGTAAGAGTCCTGGTCAGTCTAGCACACAGGAGGTATCACTGAATAACAAGGTTGAGGCAAAGAAAATAACTGTACTGAGTAAAAAGTGATATTTTTTAAAATAATGGGAATTAAAATAGACATCTGCAGTCTTTTCAGTTCAGCTGGCTTTGTTGCATAGCTGTCTTCCCACTATCCTTTCAACACTGTTCTCATAGAACAAAGGCACTCCCAGAAACCTGAGGCTTAGCAGAACTATCTGAAGAAAGTGAGCAAGTGAGGCAAAGCTGGGATGGCCAGAGATGGGCAGGCAGTTGAGTGCACTGCCAAAAAGGAGTCAGGGGATCCAGAGGATTTCCCTCCCTGCCCTACCCTGCCATCCCCACAACTACCTATTGTGCTCGCCTTGCCTGCCCTGCCCTGCCTGCCTACCCTGCTTTGCTTGCCTGTCCTGCTCTGCCTGTCTGCATCCCACTGCAAGTTGTGACAGAATGAACTTGCTCCTCCAAAGCACTCACTTCTGTCAAATCAGCTTTTTTCCCACTGGCATAAAACTCTTCCAGTGGCAACTTGTGACCCACTCCAACAGCAATCCTCACAAATCTTGTGAGAGCTTAGTTTTGGTTTTGTTTGTTCCTTTTCAGAACAGCACTGCAATTTCAATGTGTCAGTGCAGTCCTTAATGGAAATTTGTGCTATCCTATGATCATTCCCTCAGGAGTAAGATTGCTTTTGCAGCTACTCCTCAGAAGGCTCTGTGCTGATGCAGAAACACTCTTGTGATTCTGATGGAGTATAAGTAATCGTCATTTTTAATATCACTGGCAGATTTGCTATATGCAATTTCAAGTCTGGCAGATTTGGGCAGTTTCTGCCTTCTTCCTCACCCCCTCACTTTCTCTTACCCCTCTTCTGATTTTAATCCCCTTTCAACAATGTTCTGAATATGAACAAAAAACTCTCAAGAAGGATAAGGATGAGGGCAACTCCCACAATATCAAACATCCAGGGGATTTAGGGTGTGACAGGGGCAGGTCAGCAGCAGGAGAGGAGCTGTGCCTTCTCTCCCAGCACTGCTGGGCACTCCACACCACCAGCAGCATCTGCAGCTCAGTGCACTCTGCAATGGCCAGGCTGGGGCTGAACCATGCCAGGCTCAGCAATGCCACTTACACAGTGACGTTTGTAGCATAAAATGAAAGACCCATATGTGAAATTAGAGGATAAAGTGAAGGGAACTGTCTGCCAACACCAAATGAGACCTTTGTGCAGGGAGGTGCATTTGTTTTAAAAAGCACACAGTGGGATTGTTTTTATTTTCTCTACCTACAAGTCCAGAGCACTGTGGTGTTATGGAGGTGCTTGTTGGTGCTCTCCCCTGGGCTGTTGAACAGCATTAAGGGTATGCACGTGAGCTTCTTTCTTCAGTCTAGGCAGGTGCCAGGGGATCGTTTCCCCCCTCACTGTTCAGTCAAACCTTCCTGCTGGCATCAGTGGGACATCTCACCTAAGTTGTGAAATCAAGATTGTGCCCTAAAGCCTGTTCTTTCATTGAATGCCTACCCTCTGATTTCACCAAAAAATCCCAGGGGCTATAATGCTATGCAATGTGCTTTCTATCAATGAGGGAAGACCTTGACCCTGCAGCTGACACTGGGTGCTGCATGTGTCATATTGTGTCTAAAAATGTGCCCGTTTTTCTGGAGCCTTCTAGTTCTTTGGTGTCTTTATGTCACTGATATTAGAACCCAGACTCTTCCCCTTTCCTTAGACCTCACAGCTGATGGACTGTGTAGTCTCAGTCTAGGGATCTCCATTCAACCACGTTACCATCCAACCTGTTGCTCCTCGTGGGAGGTATTTCCACTGTGCAGGCCAAGCCCCTTGCAGTCAGTGTTCAAGCAAACACCTGCAAACGTGAGCAGTCACTCAGATTCCTCCTTATCAAAGAGACGGCAGTGACGGATTTAGGCAGTGACGGATTTAGGCAGTTCACGCAGATGACCGCGTTATTTCCACATTCTGGAAAAGCTCAGGTGGGCAATCCAGGAGTGCCCGGAGAGCTCGAAGGGCTGTTGGAGAGCACTCTGCAGGATGGACTCTTCTCCCAGGCAACCAACAATAGGACAAGGGGACATGGGCTCAAGCTCTGCCAGGGGAGGTTTAGGTTAGATGTTAGGAAGAAATTCTTTACAGAGAGGGTTATCAGGCATTGGAACGGCCTACCCAGAGAGGTGGTGGATTCACCATCCCTGGAGGTTTTTAAAAAGAGATTGGACGTGGCCCTTAGTGCCATGATATAGTAATTGGAGTTGGATCAAGGGGTTGGACTTGATGATCTTGGAGGTCTTTTCCAACCTAATCTATTCTATGATTCTATGGCAGCGTGGGGCAGGAGGGTGCCTGGGCATCACCCCCCACCACCCACACCCCTGTACTCCCCATGCCAAGGGCGGCAGTGGAACAGCTCTGCGGCAGCAGCTGATTCACAGAAAAGACCTTAAAGATCACCTAGTCCCAGCCCCCTACACCTCCTACTAAACCAGGCTGCTCAGGGCCTTATCCAGCCCGGCCTTGCTCACTCCAGGCCGGGGCATCCCTGCGCCAGGGCCTCACCCTCTCTCTCCCCGCCCCGCGCCGGAGCCGGATTTTCCCCGCTGCCCCGCCACAGCCCGGGGCGGCAACAAACCCCGCATGCCCCGCTATGCCCCAGATCCCGGCGATCCGTGGGATCGCTCCGCTCCGGGACCCGCCCCGCGCCCGCACAGGCCCCGTGCCGGGCGTCAGCTGGGAAAGGCCCGGGCCGGGGCCGCCGCCGAGCCGGTGCTGCCCTGGGCCTGCCCTGGGCCTGCCCATCCCGCTGGCTCCTCCCTGGGGGAAGGAGGGGGGGGGAAGCAAAGGGGAAGGAGGGAAAGGCGCCGGGGCCGCCCCCGCCGTGTGACGGGAGCGCAGCCCCGAGCGGGCGCCGGGGCCTGAGCCGGCGGGTCGGCACCAGCTGCGGGGGCCCCGGCCCGCCGGCGGACACCATGTTCTCCCTCAAGCCGCCCAAACCCACCTTCAAGTCGTACCTTCTGCCTCAGGTAACCGCGTTTTGCTGCCATTATCGACCTGCCCCGGGCCGGGCACAGCCCCCGAGCCGGGCAACAGC